AATTCACAAATATTAAAAATTTTATTCATTTAATCTAGTATCTAACCAATTAATTTATTTTTTTATATAATTAATAATTATTATTATTCAAAAATTAACTTTTGAATTCTTTAAATTACTTAATTTTATTCAATAAATTATAATTTTTTCTTATTTTTCAAATAATATCTATTATTTTTCTATTATTAGAAATCTTGATCTTATTCAATCAATTATTATAAATAATAAAAAAACAAAATTATTCATATTAAATTATCATAACCAAAATTCATTATTTCTATAAAAAAGAACCTAATATTATTATTAAACAAAATTATATACTGAAAATTAATAATAAACAATTAATAAAAGAAACCAACACTACTTAATACTAACATTAACTAGATCAAAAACAAGAATTTTAGATAGAATCAAGAATGTAGTGAATAAATTTGAGTGTGTATTTTGCTCATTAAGATTAATATCCAATATCAATACTCTAGCTAATTATTTTATCATACTAGGAATAAAATATTACATTCAAAACATCATATATTTTAAAATTGGACACAGCTTAATAGATCTAACAGCAGCATATTCAGTTTTAAGACAATATGCTGAAGCATATAATATTATAAGAAAATGTATCATTATCATCAATATTAAATAAAAGATCTTAAGAATTTATTTTTGTTTTTAACAAAATTCTGATTATATTATTTTAAGTTTAATATTATTAGAAGAATAAATAATTAGTTAATTAATTATTTTATGAAGCAAAATACTAATAATGCAGATTCTGTTATGATATAATATTTGATAAACAATTCTGTTAAATAATAAAGATATTAATTATTATTGAATTATATTTATTAGTATTTCTATTAGATAATTATTTTTAGATAGTTATTTTAAACAATTATATTTTAGATATTATTAGTTTTTAGATTTGTGTTAATATTAACAATATCAGTAATACTAGTAATACTTGTATTGATGACAATAATAATATTAATGCTTGTGTTAATATCAAAAATATTAATAATATTTATGTTTAATTAAATTAGTAACAATAATAATAATAATAAAACAAGTTAAATTATATAATATGTAATTTATATAAATATATTATGTATTTTAACTTAAAAAAAGTAGTTAATAACTCAAGAAGTCTCTTATTTAATAGAAACTTTAAATAACTTGTAAAGTTATATTGTATTAGTTTTTGATCTTGAAAGATAAATTGCTTATAATAAATTATTGTTATTGACTTGAAAGATAATCACTTAGTAAATTTATTAATTATATCATAACTTTTGAAGTTTTAAACAAATATACAAAACTTAGTAAAATTATTAAATGTCATTTTAGTTCATCACAATATAAATATATATTATCTATCTTTAGTAATAGTTTTTAGTCTTATTCACTATAGTACTTAATTTTTTTCATTTCTTAGCTAATAGAAACATGTAATTAATATATCAAGAACTTAAAATAAAAACAATAATACTATATTATTATTATCAATTTTGTCTTTAAAATTAATTTTCAAATTTTAATTAATTCTTAAATTTTAATTAATTTTCAAATATTAATCAATTCTATGAATCAACTTTTTCAAATTTACAAAATTAATTAATTCTCAAAATCAATTTCTATTCTTATTATATATTAATTAAGATATTTACTTGAAATTTGGTATACAATATTAATATATAATTTAAAATTTGTAATATAGTTTAAAACTTGAGATATATTTTATATAGTTTGAAATTTTTTAAATATTTCAATCTGTAATTCAATTTACTGTAATTATCAATTAATTTTAAAAGAGTTTGAATAATATTTCTATTCAGAACTTTTAAAAAATTACTTCATTAAAATAGTTATAAATTAGATAATCTAAGCAGAATAGGCAGATTACAATATTTTATCTACATAAGTGTAATAGACAAATAGTTTTACTAAGTAATTATATATGCAAATTATATAGCTATTTATTTTGCAAAAAATAATATATTATGAATAAGTTATGTATTACATTTTTAACTAAATATAATTGAGATAAATAATATTAATATTTAGTTAAAAGATATTAAGTCTATCTCCTTCATTATATTTTTTTGCACAAAATCAAAATATTTTTCAGCATTAATAAAATTAGATATACTTATACTATGTTGAATTAATACAAAAGACTTTAATAACAAAAAAAAAGGAATCAATGAATGTGACTTATTCATTCAAATCTACCTGTTTATATATAATGAATATATATGATGCACTCTCTAACTCTCTTGATTATTATTCACAATTTAATAAAATCTCTTTTGTTTTAGAGCACTTAGAAAAACATATTTTTATCTAATACATCTAATTTTTCTAGTATTATTTTTTAATCATAAAGCATAACTATATAATTTATTAGCCAAATTTATTTGTAATATAATTATTATCACAAAAATGAATATATAATTCTCTATGTCTAAATTTATCAAATTGATTCATCTACAAATCATATTGATGGAATCTCATTTACTTGTTCAATGGGATTAGTTGTTTTATTTTCATATATTCTTTGAAATTTAGTTTGCAAAACTTATTTCCAGTACAAGCTATAGTTCAATATTGATATATATTTCAATGTGCTTTATTAAAAGTAATATATCAATATAAACTTGCTCTTCAATCTATTATATACATATTTTTTGTCAATTGACAAGCTTTCTATTCTGAAATATACAAGTTGATTGCAAGAATAATAGATAGCTATTCCATATTTTGGAACATATTTTTTTTATCAACAAGATACAGCAAAGTTTTGTAAGCACAAAAAAATCTTTTTTATCATATGTATAATATTTTTTATTTTGAAAATATATTAGATGATCCCAAATTCTATTTTTTCACTTAGTCAGAGTTTCATCATCTTTAATAATTTGCATTCCAATATATTCAGCATACTCCTTATAAGTACCTTCAAAATCATTTAGTAAAGATTTAAACATGATGAATATACTTGATTATAGTTATTTAATAATTTATAGCAGTTTATAGAATTTATAGCCAATTTAAGCAAGATTATACTCTACTAAATCCAAATTCATTTTTATTCAAACTGAAGAATTTATAATATTATAATTCGGTTAAGTTAGACCCGAGTCACTATAACAGTTAAATTATTTTCAGATTCATGAGCCAGAAGCACTTCACATGACAATAAATCATATATCACAGAAAATTAATAGAATCTCCCTGGCTCCCTGCTAGTTCCACAACAATTTCTTGGCACTATCTTGATGCTGGCATGACGCTGGGTTGGATCCTCAAATCATGAGATGATTGGTTAATTAAATTAGATCTGAAGTCACTATAATGGCATTAATTCCAGCACTTCCTCGCAACTAAAATCACGAAAAGATCAGCCAATCAGATTTTGCATAGCAACTAAGTCACCATTATTAATTATTATATTTATTATATTTTTCAGCCTTAATATATTACGACGCTAATTTATTTACAGCTCATTTAAATCATCAAAATCAGAGAAATTTTGATAGCTTGAGAAAAAATTGGCGTAGTAGCCTTATTGTTTCGATTTCAAAACTTTAACTATTATATAGTCAATATTCTCCACGCTTAACCTTGAAATAGATGATGTGGAAAAAGTTTTAATGTAATCTATCATATGTTTACCCCCAACACCATCAAAAAACTTGAAGATTTTTATTGCCCTTTCCTTTCTTTTTCTAATATTGATCTCTGTAATACTATCCTGATCGGGAATCTACTCCCAAATTTTATCATTAACTAGGGAATTGGATGTATTATTACTATATGTTTTTTTATAATGATCAAACCATAGCCTATACCTTTTCCCAAAGGAATAGTAAGAGCAGATCACAACTAGAACAGCTTTCTGATTATTATTTTCGGCTTTGATGATTCTGTCATTTAATTTATGAAAATTAACGGTGTTAATATCAGTCATTTCAGAGAGCGTCTGCAAAAAATAGTATTATTGGAAGAAGTTTGTTGAGTAATAGGAGTGGACAATTCCTTGATAAGCTTTTTAAAATTGATGAATCTTCTAACTGGTTTCTTTTTCTTCTTCTTGGGTGAAGATGAGTTGGCGTCCGTATCTTCGTTGGTTCGTTTTCTACTGTTGGTATCAGGTTGTTCTTCGCCATCAACATCCATTTCTACTTCCTCTTCCAGTTCCATATCAGTTGATGAGCATATAGAACATAGCTTTTGTGAATTATCTATGCACTCATAGTGCACAATATGTTTACAGGTTAAGTATACGAGAGGTTGAGAGGGGAATCGAAGAAAGCTTACGGGTGGAAGATACGAAGAAAGATCTTCAGAACATTTGGCACATCTTAAATAACTTTTGGCTTGTTGAAATCCTGTATTCTCGACCCTCACCATCCGTAAGATTGGTGAAGATAGAATAAAGCTTTCACTCATCCTGTTG